AAAGCTGGGAAAGCTACTAAAAAGAACTACTAAAATTCCTGAGGAACCAAAGGATCAAATGGGTATCAAATAGATGCCTGCTATTCCGTCGTGAAAACGGCCTATGTGACCTAATATGAGCTCAGGGCATAAACAAGGGTCACGGACACCATTTTCATGTTCAGTGTGTCTAAACCACTTGTAATTCGGTGTTTGGGAGTGTTTATAATGTCTTTCGTCCAAAAGAGGCGCATTTCAATTTTCTCCCATTGACTTATAATGGGGAGGTCGCAAAATTGACCTGACCTTAGGTCATCGATATCAAAATTCTGAGATATACATTTCGTACATGCTATTGCTCTTAGCAATCGCTGAAAGCTTCAGAGCGATCGGTCACTCGGTGTAGCTATGACAGACATTGAAACTTTTTATGAGGTGAGGTCACTTCAAGTGACCTGGTGACCTGACCTTGAATGACCTTGGTCTGAAATTTTCACAACATGTGTAGAATTGATGTATGATAAAGTGTACCAAAAACGGCCGCCGTTTTTTAGATATTCGCGAAAAACCACAAGGGGGTGTTCAAACACCCCCCCCCCCCAGCAGGGCGCGGGTTAAGCAAAGTCGCATACGACATGGATGGTGAGCAACTGCGAGAGTGAGCATTTAGCCACATCAAAAACCTATGCTGCACTCGGTCTACTCGGTCCAGGCCCATGTCACTCCACTTTTGATGACATCATATGGGGGCCTCAGGACAATAATGGCGCGGTGCGCCACAATCGCTTCAAAAGCTACTTACCAACAGTTGCCATTTTTGAAAATATTATTTTGAAATAAAGTTACAATAAATAAAAATATTGTAATAAAGTTGTTGTTAAAATCGATACCATATCTAAAAACTTAATGAAAAATGATTTATTCATAGTAAAAATATAAGCTCGATGCGTTTTTACGTTGCTTTCCTGCAACTGCAGAGGATTTTTAAATCGTCTATATCTTCAAAACCGGCCATTTCTTAGCATATTGCTGCTCTTTTTTATCGCTAGAAAATTAGTTGAACTTTCCAATGACATCAACGGTTGAGCGATATGTGTAGAGTGTCACCAACAATCTTCAAATGAAGTTAGTCATTTTTACGTTGTAACGGAATGGAGCACCCCTTGCGAGCATCAGGGATGACGTCACTCAGGATCTGTCTCTGATTGGTCGGCGGGGGAGTGACTGTACCTTCTATGGATGGCCTTGACTCGGTCGGTGTGGACGGCTGCTGCGCCACCCCATATGACGCTGCAAAACTCGAGTACAGATCGCACGTTGGCAAAGTACGACGTGAGCACGGCTGATGTGCTGAGATGTCCCCTCGGTGTGGCCGTTTGGAATGATCGAATCAAAACTCCGAGTGCCCTATTGGCCTTCATGACGGTGCTTTGTTGGATGTGAGGGCCGAAAGTTAATTTGGTGTCCAGAGTTACTCCTAAGTCCCGAATAGAGTTCACGTCAAGGCCGTATAAGAGAGGTAGAATCATCCCGCGATTTCCAATGGACCGGTCGCTAAGCATTAGCGTGACGTCACTGGTGGAGACCGGGCGGCGCCCGGCTCCAAGCTGTACGTCGGGTACATTTGGCACCGTATAGTTGCTATTACTGAACGACGAACGTAACGACAACTAATGACTCTTAATGACTTTTTTACTCACCTAAAGCTAATTTCCTTGCCGGTACATTGCCGACCCGAGCCCCAGGGTTGACAATCATGGGATGGGATATGGGTCGGATGGGCGACCTCGCGACGGGAGGAGGAACGATTGCAATTGTTGTGTTCCGCACCGCCGATTGCATTCTCTATCTGCACCCGGGGGAGGGGATGCAGGGGGCACGTGCCCCCATCGGATCAGGGGGCCTCTCGGGCCAGAGGGGCCTTGCGACGCCAATTGGCGGCTGAGGGTCCACGCTGGCATCTTTCGACTCAGAAGGGCCCCACAGGGCTCGGAAGAACACCTTATGTGCTCCGAAGAGCCACACTTCTCTCCATAAGAGCCCCACACCGGCTTTTTAGTGTCCCTTGTCGGCCTTTGAGGACCCCTTGCCGGCTTCTCAGAGCCTATTGGCGACCTCTGAGGGCTACTTGCCGGCCTCTGAGGGCCCTTACCGGCCTATCAGGGACCAGCAGCTCTAAGGGTTCCACACACGCCTGCGATGACCAGCTAAACCAATGGTCGAAGGCCCCCACAACGGCGCCTGCGAGGGCCCTCACCGGCGGCTGTGAATGCCCCACACCGGTGCCTAGCTGAGGGCCCAACACTGCCACCTCTGAGTGCAACCGGCACCCCTGAATGAGGTCCCGAAACCAGTGCTTCTTAAGGCCATATATCGGCGGCTCTGGGGGCTCAACGCCGGAGCCGCATCGGACGGCCACTCACCGGTGACTTTTGAGGTGGCCCACACCGACGACTCTGAGGGCCCCACTGACGTCTGAGTGTACCTTGCTGGTCTCTAAGGACTCCACAGGGCTCCCGAAGGCACCGCAGACCTCTTGAGAGCCCCTTGTCGGTCTCTGAGAGCCCCTGTCGGCCTGTAAAGGGTTCGAGCCAGCAGCTCTAAGGGTCCCACACCCGACTGTGACAACTCCACACTGCAGTGTCTCTGAGGGCCCACTACGGAAACTGTGAGGACCCTCATCGGCGCCTCTGAGGGCCCACAGCTGCACCTCTGGGGGCTTCGCACCAATGCCTCTGAGAGCATCACACTGGTACCTGTGAGGGCCCACACCAGTGCCTCCAAAGGCTTCATAACCGGCGGCCCTGAGGGCCCTACACGGGTGATTTTGAGGGGCGTACCGAAGGCACCACACAACCCCTTAGTCTCGCTGAGCTTCTATCCCAATCCCATACCGGCTTCTATCCCAATTCCGGCTCAACTAATTATCAGCCCCCCCCCTCCATGGGTCAGCAGCGCCGCGCCGGTGCCGGGGGCCAGCGCCATCGGGGCGGCAGTCGGCCACGCGCACTCAGTAGTTAGCGCTTAGCACCGGCGGCTAGCGCACGCCCGGTGTGTTATCGGCCGTGAGCCGCTCCAAAACGGCTGCAGTAACTGGTCGATATAGGTAGTAAGCAGATGCAGAGATGCAGGTGGATTGATGACCGGCAGGCTTTTGTGTTTTACGAGGGTGAAGGGTCGAATTGTCGGCTGCTAAGTGGTGAGCGGATTTTATCAGATGCCGGTTCACTATGACCTTTGTCCGGGTCCTGGTACTCTGATGCACTCTTGGAGAGCCGAATCACAGCAAAACTCCATCCACGACTGTATCTATACGGCTTACGCTTTTCTGAAAACGTCTGCGTTTGGCCTTCTACGGGCCCGGCCGGCCGGCCGGCCGGCCCCGATTGGCAGTCCTCCAGTGACGTCACCGGTGGAAACACCGTGGGATGGGAAATGGAGCTGGTGCTTTTGCCTTAAATTGAGCTCAATTGAGCTCAAATCCATGAAGTCATGCACTCATCAGCTTTTCTTTCGTCAAGTTTTCATTTCTTAGGGCCCCTGTGATATCCTCATACTTATCCTTCTTGCCAGGCTGCAGATGTGCGCAGCGCCAACTGGGCAGCAGCTGCACTCGCAGTCCTGCACAATCCTATCACAACGTCCCGTATCCTATCCGTATCCTTGCCAAAAATTTTACTCATCACCTCATTATCACCTCAACTGAAAAGCCACGATGCTTGTGGATGTTGTATGTATAAATAAAATAAATAAATAAATTAAAGATCTCACGCAAGAATGAGGTGGATGAAGCATAAGTAATGCCAACTGCGCGGCGCCTCGTGGACGTAAAAAATTAGCCGATCACCCCCTCCGGTGACTGATAAATGTTATGTCCCGCGAGTGTGACTTTGGCCCCCCCCCCTTTTGCTAGCGGCTGCGACCGCCAGTGCCATTTTCATCAAGGTCAAACTTCAAGGTCAGTTCAGCTCCCCGTCCTTTGACCTTACATTTGACCTTAAAGTTTAACTTGATGAAAATGGTTTTCGATGTGCGGCTAGAACTTTGCACGCCCTACATTTTGGTGCCAAAATTTTGAAGATCGGACAATATTTAGTGGCACTTTTTCAGTTCCCCGTCCTTTGACCTTACCTTTGACCTTGAAGTTTGACCTTGATGAAAATGGTTTTCGAGGTGCGGCTAGAAATTTGCACGCGCTACATTTTGGTGCCAAAGTTTTGAAGATCAGACAATATTTAGTGTCACCTTTTCAGTTCCCCGTCATTTGACCTTGAATTTGACCTTAAAAATTGACCTTGATGAAAATGGTTTTCGATGTGCGGCTAGAACTTTGCACGCGCTACATTTTGGTGCCAAAATTTTGAAGATCGGACAATATTTAGTGGCACTTTTTCAGTTCCCCGTCATTTGACCTTGAATTTGACCTTGAAGTTTGACTTTGATGAAAATGGTTTTCAATGTGCGGCTAGAACTTCGCACGCGCTATATTTTGGTGCTAAAATTTTGAAAATCGGACAATATTTAGTGGCATTTTTTCAGTTCCCCGTCCTTTAACCTTGAATTTGACCTTGAATGTCAAGGTTTAGGGGAGACTGGGTTCAATTTTCGTGATCCTCATGGTCCAATTGACCTTGGAAGAGGTTTTGGCTATAATCAGTGCTCGTCGCTGGAATTCACGGACATAAAGCCCTCAGCGTCACAAAGTTACGTCTTTCTCTGGTTACAGCCTTTTCCTTGTATATTCGAAGGTTGTGCCCTCTGGTCTCGTATCTTGACCTGAAAAAAATTACTGGCATAGGTACGCGTATCATTAAGATCTTTTTTTTTTCTAGAACATATATACCTAGAACATATAGAACATATATGTAGGTAAGTAACATTCATTGTGAAACACTAAGTACATCTACAGAGGCAAGTATCTGGGAGCATGCATTTGAGATGGACTCAAGTGGTCTCGCACACATTGCCCACAGCCTGAGCAGTGAGCACACTATGTACTCGGCCAGTAAGCGCCGTCTTACCGGGCCTAGCAAATGCGGCAACCAGCGCGATCGCCAGCACGGCCAGGAAGACCAGCACCAGCACGGCGGCGGCGCGCCTCGGCGAACAGACCACCGCCTTCCGCCCGGCATACTCAGCCTTGTTGTACAGCGCCCGCTCCCCTGCCGAAAAACAACACTGGTCACACCACCGCCCCGTGCCCAGCACCGTCAACAGACAGAGCTGCCCAGCACTGCTGACAGACAGACAGAGCTGCCCAGCACCGCCGACAGACAGCTGCCCAGCACTGCCGACAGACAGCTGCCCAGCACTGCCGACAGACAGCTGCCCAGCACTGCCGACAGACAGACAGAGCTGCCCAGCACCGCCGACAGACAGACAGAGCTGCCCAGCACCGCCGACAGACAGCTGCCCAGCACCGCCGACAGACAGACAGAGCTGCCCAGCACTGCCGACAGACAGACAGAGCTGCCCAGCACCGCCGACAGACAGAGCTGCCCAGCACTGCCGACAGACAGAGCTGCCCAGCACTGCCGACAGACAGACAGAGCTGCCCAGCACCGCCGACAGACAGACAGAGCTGCCCAGCACTGCCGACAGACAGACAGAGCTGCAGACAGAGGTATATAGGGCCTTGGAGCTGCCCAGCACTGCCCATAGAACTGGCCAGACAATCAGCCGATGGTTATACACCAGCTGGTGGGTGGTGTATAGCCTGGTCCTGTAGGGGAGCATTTATTCTGGCCATGATTCATAATGCCCAGGGTACGATATGCCCATTGTCGAAATGGCCAGTGCCTTAGAGGGACTGTCCCACCTTTGCATTAGTTCTGAGTTGAGATAGCCAAGTTGGCGGCCAGGTTCAGAAACCACTATACTCGTATATCCTGGTCGCAATATCCTCATAATTCGTTCCCTTCATTTGAAAAGTGGGCCTTAGCTAAGGCCCTATCTCTTAACTATTAACGGCCATTTGATGACGTCATTTGCATTTTGAACGCCTGTCACGCATGTGACGTTTCACTTGATTTACGAATAAGCTAATCAGAGACACTTGTTATTGTATGAGCCGCGTCATATTTGAGAGCAAATACCTATATTTGCTGCCAAATTTCCCCCACATTGACATTAAGTAAATCCTTCATTACGTCACAGATCCGATCTAAATGACGTCACGATGAAATATAAAAGTCGCAATATCTCAAAAAGTATACAATGAAAACGCGTAAGAACTTGCAGAATTCGTCACAATATCATAAGTAACATTTCCGAATCCTAAATGGTACTTTTTTGAAGGTGGGATAGTCCCTTTAAATGGGCCATAGTTCATAATGTCCAGTGATTACATGGTCCAAGTGTAGCCAACTGGCCGCAGATAGAGTATATTCAAACAAACCAGTGTTCATGTCTAAAAGAGGCCAAGGGGAGTTAAGGTTATTTTAGGTAAGCTTAGGTTAGGTTTGGTTTGGTCGGGTTAGGTTCAGTGGCGGCGGAACGCCTTCAATAAAGGGGGTCACTGCCGACTTTTGGTTCCATTCTTTCCGTGTAACGCCCATAGGGCTAATGTTAAAATGCCAAGATCAAAGGGATGATCAATATCAAGGCCAAGATCAAGATCACCTTGCGTCCCCCATTCCGCCGCCTATGGTTAGGTTCATGGGTGTAACGTATACTTTCAAGGTCCCATGTGGGACCCCAGTGCGAACATTTGGGACCCCAATTGTCATTTTGGGACCCCAATAGTGGAGGCCCCCCGAGACGCACCAGCTACTTTACAAACGGAGGTCCGATGTTCATATAGAAGGTTCTCTGTATAAATAGGAGGCCCCTTGGACAAATCGGAGGCCCTGTTGGACAAATGGGAGGCTCCCTGGACAAATAGGAGGCCCCCTAAACAAGTAGGAGGCCCCATGGACAAGTATTGGACATAGGAGGCCCCTCTGTACGAATAGTAGGCCCCCTGGGCCTGGACAAATAGGAGGCCCTAGACCTAGACAAACAGGAGGCCCCTTACACAAAAGGAGGCCCCCTGGACAATTAGGAGCCCCCTGGACAAATAGGAGGCCCCTTTCACAAAAGGAGGCCCCCTGGACAATTAGGAGGCCCCCTGGACAAATAGGAGGCCCCCTGGACGAATAGAAGGCCCCTGGATAAATAGGAGGCCCTCTGAACAAGAAGGAGGCCCCCTGGATAAAGAGGAGGCCCCCTAAGAATAGGAGCCCTCTGGATAAATAGCTGGATAAATAGGAGGCTACTTTAACCAATAGGAGGCCCCCTGGACAAATAGGAGGCCCCCTGAACAAGTAGGAGGCACGCTGGACAAATAGGAGGGTTCTTTGGCAAATAGGAGGCCCCCTAGGAACAGTGTCCTAGGATTGATTTTGGGCCAGGGTGCGGAGTGGAAAAATAAAAGTGAAAATTCACTGAAAGAGTGGGAAATACAACTTGTATGAACGAGTGAGGAGGAATTTCACTGAAAATGTCTCAAAATTGTTGGCAAAATTTAACAATCTGTCACTTTATTAGAACGTTACTGGTTTCGCTAAACACGAAAGAGTGAAAAATATCTGTATTTTTCCTCAAAAGGAGTGGAAAATTATTATGGTTAGGGTGTCAAGTTTCACCCAAACTTTCAGATCCTAGGACACTGCCTAGGAAAATAACAGCCGCTTGGACAAATAGGAGGCCCCCTGGACAAATAGGAGGCCCCCTGTACAAATAGGGGGGCCTCTTGCACAAATAGGAGCCCCCATGGACAAGTAGGAGCTAAGGGCCCTCTGTACGAATAGGAGGCCCCTGAACAATTAGAAGGCTCCCTTAACAAAAAGGAGGCCCTTCAAAAAAGGAGGCCCAAGTAGGAGAACCCTGGAGAAATAAGAGGCCCCTGCACAATTATGAGACCCCTGGTCGAATAGAAGACCCCTGGATAAATAGGAGGCCCCTGGACAAATAGGAGGCCCCTGAACACGTAGGAAGCCCCCTGGATAAAGAGGAGGCCCCCTGGAAAATAGAAGCCCCCTGGATAAATAGGGGACCTTCTGGACAAACAGGAGGCCTCCTGGACAAATATGAGGCCCCCTAGACGAATAGGAGGCCACTTGGACAAATAGGAGGCGCCATTAACCTATAGGAGGCCCCCTAGACAAATAGGAGGCCCTCTGTAACAGTAGGTGGCTCTCTGTACGTACAAATAGGAGGCCGGCGCTCGACCTGTAGAAGCTTAGCTGTATGTACAAAAAGGAGGCTCTCTGTGCAAGTAGTCGAAGTAGGAGGCTCTTTGTACTGTATGTACCTACAAATAAGAGGCCCCCCGGGCAACTTAGAGGCTAGGTACACAAATCCGAGGTCACCTATAAAAAAGCGGAACTCTGTTGGAATACCTGTTTGAATAAATTGTTTTCCTGATATTCAAATTATTTAATCCTCGCCCGCACATGGGGGGCAGTGGTTGCCACCCCCCAGGGTTTTTTCTGTTCTGCACTCAACATTTTGATTGCTAGAAGCCGGATGTTTCGTATAGCTATAGCTGCTTCTCTATCCTTTCTTAGCGTCCATTGAAAATTCCAAGTTTCTGTGGTTTTGGTTTCGGAGATATGACCTTATTCTTCAGGTGATGTCATAACCCAAGTGACAAATACCCAATATCTTGCGTTGGATATGGGTCTTATGAGCTTTTGACACCTTGATTTCGGCCTTTTTTGCCAGTCTTACCTCCCACCTATCATGGAACATCAAACATGTCGTTCGATGATGTAGAGACGCTAGGGTCAAGGTCAAGGTCAGCCTAGGTCATCTAAAAATTTTGCGTTTTAGGCGAGCTGAATTTACTTTCGTGAAGTTTCTTTGACTGTATATTTGGTAAAAGCTTCTCAGTTCATGATCTCATGCTATAGGGACACATTCATAATCGGTGCACACATCAGTATACACACAGACACACATACACATACAAACACATATCATTGACCTTGACCTTACTTGACCTGAAATGACCACAGCCAGCAAAAACCTAGTCGGATAGTGTGACAAAGAGGTTCTAGCTGGCTTGGCACCACAATACGGCAGCGTCATCGGTATATGATGAGCAGCGCACGTGATATTCCAACGGGCAACGGTGACCCCAAACAGCAACGTTATTTAGTTTGACCTGACCTGGAAGGTCAATGACTGCCTGATGAGGTAAAATTTGGTATCATTGGATTCGTCTCTTCCCAAAGAATATGTTGCTCTTGACTGCGAAGCTTAAAATTTTGTTTGAATAAATTGTGGTGATGTCGAATAAAATACCTACACAAGCAGCGGGCCAACCCATCATATACCGATGACGCTGCCGTATTGGTGCCAAGCCAGGTAGAACAGCTCTTTGTCACACCATCCGACTAATTTGCTGGCTGTGGTCATTTCACGTCAAGTTAGGTCAAGGTCAATGATATGTGTTTGTATGTGTGTGTATGTCTGTGTATGTACTGATGTACCCTGACCCTGACATCTGTACATCGCAGACGGCAGAACAACATGTTCAATGATAGGTGGGAGGTAAGATTGGCAACAAAAAAAAAACGACATCAAGGTGCCTCAAAAGCTCACAAGGCCAATAGCCAACGCAAGATATTGGGTATCCGTCATTTAGGTCATGACACGACCTGAAGAACAAGATCATATCTCCAAACCCAAAAGCCACAGAAACTTGAAATTTTCAATGGACGCTGAGAAAAGATAGAAAAGCAGCTATCCAAAAATCAGATTTCTAGCTTAAAAAAATGTTCAGTGTAGAGCAGAAAAACTAACTTGGGGGTGGCAACCCTCCCCCTGGTGCGGGCTAGGGTTAACCCTCGCATGTGTGCGGCGTTTGCCAGCTTCTAATGTGTAGGGGGGGGGGGGTCGGTTGGACCCCCCCTTGCCGTTTGGCCCCTGATCGAGCTAGAGCTTCGCGGAAAAAACGAGCGTGTTGCCCGTGACGAGAGGAAGCCGATGATACCCAATTTTAAGGTCCTAGGTCATTGGTTGACCTTCCAGGTCAGGTCAATGACCCAAAGTCGGGAAAATCGGGACCTGTTAGAAAGTCGTAAAGTGTGGCTGCTAAGGGGTTTTTCGGGGTGCTGATCACGAATATCGTGTTAGTTTTGATCACAGATGATGTCTTGAAGCATTTAGACCAGGT